TATATATATAATACCCATACATAATTTAATTATTTCGAGCTAAAATGAGCTCAAAAAGAAAAAAAAAATTTAAATTCATGTTCGACTTGTTTGCTTAGTGAACGAATTTAACACGAGCTACTTAACAAGTCAAACACAAGCCCAATGAGTTGTTTTAATAGCCATATATTCAACAGTAATAGTTGGCCACAAAGGCCCTAATTGTTTACAGTAATATTTTTAGTTAGTTGGCCACATATGTCATAATTGGAAGTTTTAATAATATCAGTTTGTCATGGAGATTATAGTTGATGACTGCAGTACTGTTAGTTTGCCACAAAGACCATAGTTGGTAGCAGTAATAGAGATTTTAGTCATAGATGTCATACTTGGTAACTACAATATCGTTAATTGGCAACAATGGTCATAATTGAAAGTTGTAACAAATTTAATCGGATACTTAGACCGTTGTTGTAACTACAAGATCATCATTTGATCACACACGTTGTAGTCAGAAATTGTAATAATGTCAATTGGCTACATAAGCTATAATTAGTGATTGCAATAACGTTTGTTGGTAAAAAATGTAATACTTGAAAGTTGTAACAACGGTAGTCTACCACAAATGTCATAGTTGGTGATCATGCCCCTTCGCTCAAGAAGAATGGGGTTATGATTCCACACTGAATACTACACTTATCGTTATATATCGTCAATAAAAATACATATGTTAGAAAATACTATCATATTCTTGATAAGACATTCGTAAGTTGTAGTTGGTGGCGGTTGGAGGTTTGCTATGGCAGTTGATAAGAGTCGGAGGTTCGCTATGATGAGCGGTGATAATTGATAATGATCGACGGTGGTCAATGGGTGGTGATGGATATTTGTCAGTAGCTACAAAGAGCGGAAGTTATCAATGGGACTTCAATGCAGGTTTTATACGTTACATTCATAATTGAGATGCGACGTTTGCTAATAGAGATCACCGACTACAGGAGGTCAGCCTCTTCAAGTAGTGATGGTCGATGGTGACCGAAAGGATGTGGTCGTGGTGGTTGGTAGTTACGGAGGTTGGGAGTTATTGGTGGATCTTTAGCCCATAATGAACTTTAAACTTCATCTTCTTTTCCTCCCACCCCTCTCGACTGAAGAGAGTAGGTCTCTTTATAGTCTCTGAAAGAGGGGCATTTTGGCCTCTTTCTGAGACTATAAATAACTTCTCCAACCACTTGATCGGATGCTCATATTATCCCCTCTCGATCATAGAGGTTATTTTAACTATTTGAGTGCCTTGCTGACTTCAGAATTTAGTGATTTTGGACTCGTTGGATTCCTCGCATCGAGACACTCAAATTGATTATCAATATCTCAAATTTGGAGTTCATTTGATCATTTCATTGATGATCCAAATTCTCCAAATATGCTTCAATGGCTTCATACATACTTGTTGACCCCAGATTGAACTAATTTTTGTATCATCGGGTTCGTCTTGTTGATACGGTTAGTTTACTTATAAACTCCTTGAAATCAAGGCCATGAATAATTTTGAATTTGAATCAGAAAATATTTATTATTCGAAAAATATATTGAGATTCATACTGAATAATACAAATTTATTGATGATGCATCAAGACCTAATTATGTTAAAATCTTAATAAATAGCTGAGAGCTTACTAATATGATTTTATATAGTTCAGTTTCTAAAATGTTGTCACATATATCTGTATTTATTAAAATTATATTGAATTAATCTCTTTATTTTTTTCTTAATATAACATATTTAATTAATACAAAAAATTGTTTAGGACTAAAAAGTTTACAATTTAAAAACTTTGAAATTTTATAAATAGCTATTGAAAAAACATTGAATGATAAAAAAAAGGGTTCCTTACAAATTAAAAAAAAAAAACAATAAAAATATGTAATCATGTGCTCAAAGGAGATTTTATATCCTCTTTTGACATCATCTATTAAGCATCTAAGAAAAAGCCGACCGAAAGGACAAATTACTAGCTGCGAAATTTGCCTCCATGCATTCCTTTTTAAAATCTCCTCTGTTTCCTCTTTCTTTCAAATAAAATAAAAAATATATATATATATAAATAATAATAATTTAAAATTAATGTCTTCTAATTCGTAATTAGTGATAATTTTGAGAATTTGTTAACATTAATCGTAATTAAGACCAGCATATTCTTATAATAATTCTTAATCTAAAATATTCCTTCCTTTATCTGCGTACTGCAGCTTTATTCTTTCTACTACCATGCATTACAATTAAACCTCAGCTGATGCAATAAAGGCATGAAACCACTTGAGCCTCAGTTCGGTGGACAGTTGTACTTTTGGTTTTTTCTCCTCATAGTTGCAGTTATCTGTTAAGAAATTTTTGTTCTGCTGGCCCATTTGCAAAAATGTACATTACATTAAAAATATAAAATTGATAATTTTCTTTATTAACTTGTGATATTATGATCTTGTCTTCCTCCCACCTTCACTCCCCCATCGCCCTCCTCTTCTATAAATGCAGCTCTCCTCCCTCCCTCCCTCCTCACCTTTCTCCTCTTTACTCGTAAAGACTCTTTTTAAGAACCAAATCTTCTTTCTTTAAGAATCTAGCCATTCTCCATTGCTGGGAAATGAAGCATCTTGCTTTAATCCTCATCTTTGTTCTGTCAATCCTCAGAGCTGTTCATGGAGGAGGAGAAGAAGGATGGATAAGTGCTCATGCTACCTTCTATGGAGGTGGCGATGCATCGGGTACCATGGGTAAGTAAAAAAAATCAAAGAGAATAAACTTTTCTGATCTCAAAATTAGATTTTGAAATGATAGTTGTTTGTAATTGAAGGAGGGGCTTGTGGATATGGAAATCTTTACAGCCAGGGCTATGGGACGAACACTGCAGCTCTGAGCACTGCGTTGTTTAACAATGGACTGAGCTGTGGATCATGCTATGAGATTATGTGTGCTAATGAAAGGCAATGGTGTCTTCCTGGTACTATTGTGGTTACTGCAACCAACTTATGCCCGCCAAACTATGCTCTTCCGTACACTAATGGCGGGCGGGGGTCGCCCTCCTCATGCGGCTTCCATTGGAGCATTTTGATCTCTCTGAACCAGTTTTTCTTCGTATTGCTCAGTATAAGGCCGGAATTGTTCCAGTTCAGTATAGAAGGTAATGATGAAATTTTAGTTCTTCGAATGTTTAAAATTCAACCTTGCATCGAAACAAAGATGAATGAAGAGGAATACTGGGAAGAGGAAGATGAAAAAGATGAAATTTTACATTTACATTCCTTTAATTGATTCTCTCAACCTAAACACATAACTTAAACTCCCCCAAAAATTCTTTCTTTTAAATAAAAATCTGGATTTTAAAATCGCAGGGTGCCCTGTGTTAAGAAGGGAGGCGTCCGGTTCACCATCAACGGCCACTCCTACTTCAACCTTGTTCTCATTACCAACGTCGCCGGCGCCGGCGACGTGGTGGCTGTCTCCATCAAGGGCTCTAAAACCGGATGGCAGCCGATGAGCCGAAACTGGGGTCAAAACTGGCAGAGCAACAGCAACCTCAACGGCCAATCCCTGTCCTTCAAGGTCACCACAAGCGATGGCCGGTGTGTTACATCCATGGACGTCATCCCTTCCTCCTGGAGCTTCGGCCAAACTTTCTCCGGCGGCCAGTTCTGAGAAAATAAATTTCATCACTTTCAATCTAACTCTACCATTACTGATATTAGTAAGCTTCTCCGTGTCATGTTGATTGCTGCTTTGAAATGGCAATCAATGGCGTTTAATTATCTTACTACTAAGTTGTTGCTGATCTTCTTCTCTCCTTTTTGCCTTAAATATTGTGGCAGAGGAGGGCGCCGCATAATAGTGGTGCAAAGGAGGCATTTTTATTGGATTTTGATTTTAATGGAGTGGTGGTGAGGATTGGAATGGCTGAGGTGAACATGGCTGAGCTTGTCGCCCGCCCATTAAATCCAACTACTTTAATTTATATGTAGAGGGTATTTGTGATGTAATCTGCTTTTATTTTGATCATATATATCTATACATAGCTTTAAGATATTTTGTGTTTTTTTGGGTGATATTACACATGTGAGAACAGATTTCTCTTATATAAGATGAGTTGAGCAATTAGGGTAAACAAACACAACAATCAACAAAACAATCAAGAAAAAACACAAATATTTAATGAGGTTCGACAATATGCCTGAGTCATCTAGAGTAATGATGGGTGGAGGCCTTTTTTTTAAAAAAAAAAAATCGTGCATTTTCTTAGCGTTACAAATAATATATATATATATATATATATGTAATTAAAAAACCCTAAGCAATCGTGCCGCAGGGCATTGCCCCCCACCCCTGACTCACTTTACGAAACTCTCTCAATTAGACAGATGTTGGAGCGGAGCTTAGCGAGTCATGATCTGTCCCTTATCTTGTCTATGAGTCATACCTAACAAGGTGATCTATTTGAGTGGCTTCAATTTCTTAAAAAATAAATTATAAAGCTATGGAGAAGAAGCCAACTTCTTAAAATGTTACACGTTGAACCATCAATATTTTGTTCAATTTATAAAGAAAAATAAATAAATTATATAAACAAAACCTTTGACTTAATTTTAAAAAAATTATTCTAAAATTCTTTTGGTCGAAATAATGGCTACTCGATCATTTTAGAATATCTAGCTTCCATTGATATGGATGTGAGCTACAACCCTAACCCAAAGAATAAAGAGACTTTACTATAATCCATCACTTCTTAAATGAAAGAGAGAAAAAAAAAAAAGGCTTCTCTCTCAAGTCTACTTCTTCCTCCCTCTCTCACAAAATCTAAATAAATTTGCTCATACCATTATCAATCTATGGAAATTGGTGGAGGCTTTTTCTTTTTTTAGGATGGAAAATTTTACTTTATAAATTAAATAATATAAAAAATAAATAGATTCTTGGATAAAAATTAAGCAAGATCGGTTTTTTCTCAATGTTTTTATTTATAATTAAATTAAAAGTGGTGGGGTTTATTTGAAAAGAAAATTTTTTATATAAAAATTTTCTAAATCCTTATTTTTTATAGCGAATAAAATTAATTAATCAAGTTTTTTTAGGTTGTTTAGTATATAAAATTTGATTAATTTGTTATGTATTGTACTATTTAAAACAAATAATTAAAAAGTTTAAATTTTTTTCACCCAAGTTATTTTTAAGACTAAGAAAATTTATATATTTAAAAATATTAATTTGAATCAAATTTGATTTTTTTTAGTATAAATTAAAATTAATTTTATTTGGATTGTTACCATATTTTGACGAATCAATACCTTACAATTAAGAAAATTAATTTTTTTTATTTTTAAATTTTGAATTTCTTATTTTAAATATTAAATATTCTAATGTATTTTTATTGTACTTTTATTAATTTAAATTATCATTGCATAAAACATTTTTTTGAATATACTGATGAGATATGATTATTTTTTAAATAATTAGATATATATATATATATAATATATATATATATCCACCATTACGAGTAGATATCATAAACATGCATTTAACTAAGTCGAATTAAATAATTCTCTTTGTTTCAGATTTTAGATATGTGTTTTGAAACATTTAAGACTGCAATTATAATTGAAAGTGAACTGAAAAAACTGAAAATTTCTCATACGATAAAGCCTTAACTCTACAATTTTTGAACTCTGGGCTACGGCCCATCTTCATTAAAGTCCATGTTGAGATCGCCCAGCAGAGCCGAACTCAGATTATATTCATGTCATGTTATTTTTATAATTCGACTTAAATTCACCCCATGTTTCCAAATTTGACTGGTTAAATTTTAGGTCTCACCGTATTTCTTTCTTGATAATGATGGGTAAATTAGACTAAAAAATGCTCGATTATAACATGAATAAAGAGAAATTATTAGTTGTAGCAACCGCATGTCTAGACGACTATTCGGATGGGTCGTGTGATCCACGATGGTGTGACCGCATCAGGACCATCGTCTAGACATTTGGTCCGCCGCACGTACTAATTTTCCAAGAATGAGAGGCTTTAGCTATATAAGGGGATGCCAATTTGAATTCAATGATTTAGTTCACATTTGATTTGAAAATATGACCAGACATGATTATACTCAACTTTCATCAGTTTGATTCAATAAACAAGTTGAAGATATCAACTTGGTCCCAACTAGGTCATATCCAAACTCAGCCTAATATGACATGAAAAACACAAGCTAGGAGAGTGGTTTGAGAAATTAGATTTAAGTTTGACTCAAATTTGACCCAACGTAAGATATTTGACATGAATCAGAACCTTTTATGTACGAGTCACAAAGTTTCATCTAAATCGAACATGGTACAAACTCGAATAACTTGAATCTAATATTGTGACTCATTATCACATGATTCAAATAATTATTTTGCTCTAGCACAGCTGGTGCATATAACTCAAACATGATTCTTTGAGACGATGGAGTGTTGCTCATTCGTTAAAAAAGATGATGTTTTTTTAGGGCTCTAAATTAAATAATAACATATTATTTTTTCATTGATTTTTGGTTTTTGATTTAACATGAACTTGGCTCGAATATTAAATAGATGAACATGTTACACTTGAATGTTATTTGTGTACGTACTAATTGGGTCAACAAGAATCTATTTGCATAAGTGAGATCTTTATTAGATCATTTATTGACAATTCTATATGCTAGTGTCAATCTAACATGATTTTAGGTTCATTGGAATTATCGTTTGGACACACTTGATCCTCCAATTTTACCCCAAAAGCTTTCAAAAATGGTTCATCGGCTTGAACTGGGCTTGATTTAATTCAGATTTGACCAATTTTGATGTCATCATGTTTGTCTCGTTTAGCCGCTCAATTTGATCATATGTTTGCTGAAATCTAAGTTATTTATTATTTCTAATTGAATTTTGACCATTCTATACTCAAAAAATTACTTCGAGATTTGTGTCACACCTCGAGATTTATGCTGAATGATGAAAATTTATTGAAAGTGCATCTTGACAAAGACAAGAAATTTTAATGTCTAGTCCAAATAGATTGTACGTGTCAGAGTAAATATATGGACCTTTATGTTAAACTGTACTTATACGAAAGAATATGTCTTCCTCACCTCTGGTTACCCATCTTTCTCTCTTTCTCTTTTTGAAATCAAGAGAAAACTTCTCATCATTCAACATATCAGTCATCTTGTTGCTTTCAATTGGAGTAATTATTCATAACATTTGGTTTAATTGCCACGGTTTTCTGCATTTTCTCGCTTTGCGTTAATATATATGTTTAAGCATATTTTTAGACACTAAACACCTTCTTTTGACTCTAATTGAGGTTGACAAATGTATTCGTACCATTGCATGTCAGTAAGAGATATTAAACTTATCGATAACTTTGATCACTTATGATTGGAGCGGCATTATGATAGAGATGACGAATAAAAAACTAAGGAATAAAAGGCATTGTTTATGATTTTTTTTTTTATATATATATAATAAGCTTTAGAAATGGTGAAAAGAAGATAAATAAAAATGAAATATACTTTTAGACTGAATATAAAAAATTATGATCTAGAAAATTCATAGCAATAGAAGGTGTTCTGCGTTAAATTTTACTCGAAACTCGAAAAATAATATAAAAAAAAACTCTATGTTGGTCAAGGGATGATGATTGGGTGATGATGGGTCAATGTTGTTCTGTCAATGAAAGAAATAATGATGGTTAAACGACAATATGTTGTTGATGATGAACTTTCTTATGTGAGAAAAGGGAATAAAAAGACTAAAAAATAAATATGAAATTTGAAGGGAAATGATATTATTTTGTTGTTCATTATAACTAATTGTAGTATGGGAATTTCTCATAGAGCGAAAATGATGAAAATGAAAGAAATCAAAGATAGTGCCTAGGTGCTATGCATCACAAACAAGTTCTTCATTTGATACTTCGGGCAAAGATGCAATATTTTGATTCTGAAATATACGTCACTAATAAAGCTTCAAACTAAGGCTAAAACCCCCGTGTTAACTTAACCCCGCATTTTCATAAGCAGATGATCAACCCAACAATAATCTTTATGGCCCGACAAGAGAATACAACAATTGTTCACAATAGTTATATTTTTTCATTTAAGTTGTACATCAACAAATCTTATCTCTAGTGTAAAATAGTATTCTTATTCTTTCAATTGGCTGAAAGAAGTGTACCATTGTACTTACAAACTTATAGTGACTTACTACGACTTTTGGGCTTTTTAGGGTATTCGACTTAAAAATATTCGTGTTTTTTTTCCTGCTTCTTTTCTATTATTTATATGTGTTGGATCTTTCTATAATATTAAAATATTAAATCAAGACTATGCCAGAGTCAAAAAAAAAATGAGAGAGGAAGTCAACAAGAAAATTCTCTTATATTCCCTTTTTATTCCCTGTTATTTTAAGCCTGGACTTTCTCCGCCAGAACTCCTGTGTTTTCTAATGGCTTGGCATAAGTCCCCAATATTCTTTTTTATTTATTTACTTTATTATTATTATTATTATTTGCTAATTCCTTTGACTAACGTTCCATTTTTTTTAATACAAAATGGAGCTGTTCAACACTCAAAAGAAAATGAATAAATAAATAAATAATAACATTTTGGGCATTAATTCATCTTGCAATAAGATAAGTTAAATCTTCAGTGAATTAGATATGAATTTAATATTTTTTGTTAGAAATTATGATAGGAAATAATTTATTTTTATAAATAAGTTATTTTCTTAGAATTAGAGTTATGATAGGAAATAATTTATTCCTGTAAATAAATTATTTCCTTAGAATTAATGAGAGATTTGTTTTCCTATTTTACGTTATTTCATGTATTTCCTGATAATTAATATGAATTAATTATTGGAGATATCAGGTGTTATACTCTTTTTTTTATATCATTTCCTTTTATTATTTTTTATATTACAAGATTCTTGTAAGGATTATTTATAACCTCGTTAATATCAATGAAATATTGAG